GGGGGCGGAACCAGGCAGGTCTGGGGGCTCCCGCAGCGCCCCGGGGTTGTGCGGGGAAATGGTGCGGGGAGGGGGCGGGTGCTGGGCCCAGGCCTGGCACCCCCCGGCCCTGCCCCGCGTCTCACCCTTGGGCTTCACGTGAAGGGGGTTTTGTGCCTTCATCGAGGCCGAGGTGAAGGAGTTTTAACCAGAAACGGTAAAAATGTTGTCCCTGCTGCGCGCTGATGCTTCTAACTCAGCCTCGTGAGGTGACGCTTCTTCTCCGTGGGCAGCAAACCGAGCTCCCTGCTTTTGCTACCCCACAGCTGAGGACTTGGGGAGAAAATAAGGAGCCTATTAAGCCTGGAACAGTGAGAGCCTTCCCCTTCTCACGCTTGAAAAGGTCATTTCACACATTGTGTGCCTGCTCGTTCCAGTCTGCGTTTTTTGGAGTGAAGGTGTAATGCTGACAGCTGAAAACAGATTTCTGGTGGGGTTTGTAGATATGTCAGCAGCTGCTCTTCTGGTGTATTAGTCACTGAAACCACTTTGTTCCTGCAGCCTGGCAATGGAGGGAGAAAGATTATGCTAATTGACTTAAGGCTGGCATTTAGTGGCAGTTTGCATTACAGATTGTAGTCATATTTAAAAATCAAGACTTTCAACAGCATGTGCAGGCTGTATTGGAATAGAATATAACTGTCTTTCACGTTTTATTTAGGAAGTAAAAAGAAGACAGCTAGCAGAAGCAGCTGAAAAGAGACAAATGGAGGTAACATCTGATAAATTGCCGTTTATTCAAAAGATACTGTGGTAACTGGTTTGGGTGGAAAATAACTAAGGCTTTTGTGGGAACACTGGGTATGGTGCCTGGACTGTGGGAATTATGATTAAACATTTTCATAGTCTTGTGGTGTACCGTTTTTAATGTTTATTTACAGTAGAGTTTCATAGCTAAATGGTCAAAGACCCCCTGCAGGATAGCTGAGCTTATTTGGGTGGGAGAAGTTTTGCAGTAGTTAAATAACAACCTAAGAATTGAAAAGCAAATTCACCATTGTTTTGTGGGGTTTTTTCTGTCCCCATTATAAGATATGAAAACAAAAGACTGAGAAATATTTTAAAACAGATTTGTCAGATAATTTTTGTGGTGGCAATTTCAAGTGGTTCTGCACATTTACAAATGTGGGTTATGGGCACTTGCTAGTTTAGTTTATCAAAGTGGCAACAATTGAGCGCTTAGCTCAAACTCCAGCAAAGAAGTATTAACTCATTCTATCTCTTTAAGTTTCCTAAGCCTTAACTACTTAAAGTAGTCAGAAGAGGTGGGATGCAAATGTTATAGCAGAACGTAGAACTAGCCAGCCTATTGCTACTTTTCTGTCCTTCTCAAAAAAAGGCTCACAACAAACACCATGCAAAACCTACCCTAAGTAAAATGTGTATTTTAGGGACTGCAGGTGAACCATGGAGAGAGAGGAACAAATGTGTTGTTTGTATGAGTGTTAGTGACATTATATATTGAATTAAAAATCGACCACTATTGATGAGGACCATGTTGAACTGGCTTTAAAGGAGTCATGGGTAATTGGAGCAACAGCTGATTGATTCATTAGACTCTCTTGCAAAACTCTTCGATTTTATGTCAGACTACATAGTAAAAGCAGTTGACATGTCTTAAATTGCAAAGGGTTTTTTAAGCATAACGATAGGAAATACACTTTTGGGAAGCATGTTGTCATGGTTTGACTCAGGATTGGCAGTTAATCCAATGACAACAATGCTGTTGATCCCCTCCCACCCAGGTAGCAAAAGGAGAGAGAAAAAACTAAACTAGACAGCTTTAATTAAATACTAATGATAAAATATGTACAAATATATACAAGTATGTGCAGGAATGTGCAAAGCCCCTGTCATGTCCCCCAACTCCCAGAAACTCCCACGACATCTGAGCTGTGAACAGTCCCATAATGTCTTGGAGACAGGAGCCGAGGGTAGTTATGAGGGTCAGGAACGCAGAGGCCTAGGGATCAAGGGAGGTGGGTAGATGGAGTCCTCCCTGGACACCAGCCATGGACAGAAGCAGCAGCAAGAAAAGAGCTTGACTTCCATGATCCCTAAATTTATACCCAGAGCCCCGTGGATATGGATGGAATAATTTGTTTTGCCAACTTTGCTGTCAGTCTAGTCCACTCCTCCCTATGGGAGGGTTGTAGATACAAGTCTTCTGTTCCTTTAGTATCTGAAGCAGGAGATTCAACAAGCAGAGCAAAGTGTCTTTGGTATCTCAGCACCAGCTATAAACATTCCAGCATTATCAGTCTGCTAACTGGAAAACTTGCTGCTAGTTTCAGCAAGTGTGCAGCTTAAAAGAGAGTTCACTGAAGGGGAAAAAAATAATCAGTAAAATTGACTTCATCCTGGCTCCAACCAGGACACATGTGAAAAGGGAACATGCCCATCTAGCTCTTAAACTGCTAAAAAGTTTGCCTGAGATGAGAGAGAAATGAAGCAACTTGGTTTATGGATGGCTTTGAAGTTATGTGGTACTTGTTAAGCTGCTAAAGAAGAGTAAGTATCACTGTTACGTTTTTGTTCTCTTAAAAGACAAAGAGATAAAGCATCTACTGGGATTATCCAGGACTATTTTGGAGAGCATTTTAGTAACATGTCTTGCAAGCAGCCCAGTCCAATTTCCCCCTCATGAGGGACAAAAGAGTAGTTCAGATGTTCTTCTCTGCTTAGTGTTTTCCTGTACGTGCTTCTTAGCTGCTCATTATTCAGCCTAAAGGCATGTGAGGTGTTCTTTTTGGGGAGCTGTAGGCAGAGTCTGGGTACCTGACTGACTGGGAAGGCCAGTTGCCTAAAAGCTAGAAATCATGGGGTCTGAGTCAGTATTTGTTGGTAAGATTTGCCTTAATAGCCCAACTTGTCCTTAATTTCAACTGAGAGCATTGCCCATTTCCCTTGGTAGATGGTAACATCTTTTGCATAGCTTATGCTGTAATTTCATAACTCTAAACTTCTAAATACCAGTTTTTAAACCATTTTCTTTTTAAGTTTACAGTTTCAGTCTGTATTTCTGGTACTCCTGCCTAGGCTAGGTCAGCATTAGACCATCACCATGAGGTTGTGAAGCAGACAGCTGACACCAGGTTTCTCACCTGTCTACTACTGCTATCTGCACATCCTGTGAAGGATAGACCATCACACGGGTTATTTTCACATCTCAGTTTAGAAGCTGGATTTCTGGCAGGCTGGGCTAGCACTGCTAACGTGACCTCTTCTTCCCCCTGTGTGTGAAGTTCCCATCAGTTTTTGTAGTAGCTACACAGGGCCTGTGATGTTTTCTGTCTGCTTACTGAGTATTAGAAGCTGGTCTTATGATTTCCATCATCTGTGTCCTATTTCTAGGTAGGCTTTTGATAAAAAGAGATGGAAGATGTGAACAGATGGTGAAACGGCTCAAGTTCTTAGAAGTTAAGTCTGCCCAAGTCATCTCTTCCTAGTTAATTCTTTTTGTGATGGCAAGAAAAGGCCCAAATACTGGAAAAAACACAGACTAACATTTATGGGACTTTTGGGAAGGGAGGTTCTGGTTCTGCATCTTAGAAGGCAAAGCAGGTGTGTGTAATCACAATATGTTCACCTGGATGTAATAATATGAAACAAAAACACCCTCACATACCTTTAGAACCAAGCGCTCACAGTATAAAGAACTGTCCTGAAAGGTCTGGGTTTATGCAGTGGTAGCATTACTGAATGTTTCAGTCTTTTCATGCAAACCACAGTTCACAAAATGGTGTTGCCAAGACTTGGGAGTTCAATTTCTATCCAGAAAAATAGATAACTAGTCTTACCCAACTGTGTTTTCTCCCAGGCTTCCTCTCGAGGCATTAAGAACGTTCAGTCTGTAGAGCAAAAGAGAAAGAAACAAGAAGAAATAGAAAAAAGAATTGCAGCTTCAGGTTCTGGAGGAGGAGGAGGAGGACTGAGAGTAAGTTTAAAAAAAGAAACATGACACAACTGTTCTCATATTCACTTATATTCCTGTTTTGTTGTCTTCTACAAGATTGAATCACTTCAGGAAAAACCAAGAGGAAGAGAAATAGGATAGAAATGGAACCATGTGTCATTATCACACTGTTCTTAAAGAGACTTTGTTTCTGGGACACAAAGCAAGGATGGCGAGGAGCTTTCCCCCAGCCTTCTTTCTCCTCTGTTTCTGCACCTCTGATGCACCCAAATTGGATCAGTTTTAGAGTACTCTCAGCACTGGACACCTCCTCACTGAGATGACCCATACACAGCATCCCTTTTCAGTACAGGTTGAGGTTGTGTCTTCCCTCAAATGTTTGAGCTAAGCAGGGGGATGAATTTGGGTTTCATGTAATCTCTCTCCAAAAGTCCCATACAGTGTAGGCATACGTACTGATGAACTGCTTTTCTAATGTAAACTGTCATAAAAGGCCAGGCAGAGATTTAATTAAGAAATAGAATCTCTCCAAGGCAACAGATGCATCTGGTTATCAGAACACAAGCTTCAGGAGCCTTCATACCTTTCCCTCCTCAGGGGGCAGGAGTTAGTGTAAGCTGGCACTGGTGGGCTGCATGTCCGTCACTTACTGGATATAAAAGATGTTAGAATGGGATATTACTCTTGAGACAACTTTGTGGTGTTTGGTTTTTCTTTTCTCTGTCTTCATACAAACCTGTGGTGTATTTTGTTGTGTCTTCAGTGGCAGGTGGGATAAAGAGGTTGCACTTCTGGGGAGAAGATTGATGTTTACGGCCAACAGGTTGCCAGTTGCAGCAGAGTGGCACTTACTCATCACGTGGCTTTTCCTGTTTGCATATGAAGACTCAGCAGTACTTTGCCATTGTGGGAGGACAGATGTGGAAACGTACACTAAGAAACATAAGAACTAACTATGAAAACTTAAGTTTTGGCCAATTTTCTTTGTTCTATGTGCATGTTTTACTGTTTTCCTTATGAAGGGAGTGAGATGGGTTTTCTCAAGTGAAAGCAGCCTCCTTACCTGTAGTCAGTCAGTCTGTGTGTGCTGTCTGGTCAGTTGGTGTCTGTCTGTGTACAACTGGCTTATCACAGCTCAGGTGCCCATGTATTATTTAGGATGCTTACTTCAAGCTATATGATTAAACTTAAGTTCTCATGTAGAAAGTTGTTCATAAATAGATGTATTTGAATACATAGGTGACAGCATTTCTCTTCAGTTTCCTAATGACTTCTGAACTGCTTAGGAATTTAGTGCCTTTTTTTAAAATAAAAAAGCAGATTCATGGTGGGTCCTTAAAAATAGAAGCTTTTTGTGACACTAGTTAAAAAACCAGAAACCTTTATAAACCCTGTATACTGACAGAAAGAAAGCTGTTTTATTACGAGTCTAATAATTGTTGTCATTTTCTGATGTGGATATCTTTTGAGTCTGTAAGTATTTATAATGAATACTGGAAGCTAAACATTAAAAATAGTTATTAGTTGTTCTCCTTTGTTACCACTAGAGGGCAGTGCTGCACTCAGGATTTTGAAAAACAAACATACTTATTACGTCATCTCTTAGGTGGTTCATTTCCTCAAGTTTCTTGTCCTGTGTAGGTGGGTTTGTTACAGTGCAGTAACATTTGCCAAATGCCAAAGCTCTGTTGCTTTTCTTCCACGTTCACCAATGTCTGTAAACCCTTTCACCAACATGAAGCTGCCTGTGATTATTTAGAGCTCCCTTCACTGTGGTGTTACTTTCAAACTAGTGGCCTCAAGTCCCTGCTTTGATAAATGAAGGAAGCTTCTTGCAGCATGATCAACACGAAGAATCTAGCTCTACTTTTCCCTAGGGAGCAATATGCTTGGGCTCAGTATGTTACTGTCCCCATTCCTGACCTAGTTTAGGCTAGAGAGGCTTTTTTTTATTCCTTGAACTAAATATTTCTTCTCTTACCTCTCCCATTAGTGTCTCACACTGTTAGGAGTGCAGTCCTGACACAATGTGCTTCCTGGCTCAGCCTTCAGAATTGAGTTGAGAAGGGAGACTTTTCAGTATTAACATAATGGTGTTTGTGCTAAAAAGCTGTGTCCTTGGCAGGTGAATACCTTCCATTTCCTTTCATTGCTGGCAGTTTCTCTCTTTGTATTCATTGGTTGTAGTGATTTTTTAAAGTAAAATGAAAATGCATTTAATTAAAGTAAAATATACTAAACGTTAGTTTGAAATGTGATTTTCAACCCAGCATCTGTCACAGTGGGTGTCCTACAAAGACCATCACGTGACATCTAACACTTGGTTGGTCACTTTGGTGTATTTCAAATGTAATACATTTTTCTTTACACCTACTGTAATTCTGCTCTCCCAAAATCACATGTGAGGAAATAACCATTGGTTTCTATTCATCCAAGCCCCCAGTCTGTGAAAAAGCCACTGACCACACAGGAGTCTGTGCTGGCATCAGTATCAAGACTTGAATTTAAAAACATTGAAATAACCCAGTGAAACACATTACAGTGTCTTGTGTCACCCCTTGATGCTCTTGAAGTTGGAAGAGTTTCCCGTGTGGAAGAGTCCTGCTGATGTGCTGCCCAAGGCAAGGCTGCCCTGCTCTGCTCCTGCTGGTGTGCTGCCCAAGGCAAGGCTGCCCTGCTCTGCTCCTGCTGGTATGCTGCCCAAGGCAGGCAAAGCTGCCCTGCTCTGCTCCTGCTGGTGTGCTGCCCAAGGCAAGGCTGCCCTGCTCTGCTCCAGCTGCTGTCACCAGTCGGTGCTTTGCATTTGAATGAGAGATTAGCAGCTTGTCTGAGCACCCACACTGTTCCTCAGCCAACCCTTGGTCCTGCCAACACAGCTGGCTTGCCTGTGGGCCTGGCAGCTCCTCTGCAAGATGGGAGGAAAGGTCTGGATCACCTCAGATGGAGAGAACCTTGTATTTAAGAGGCGATTCTTGCAATTCAGAACTACCAGAGAAAAAATAGTGCTTTTCTCTCTTTCCTTCCTCTTAAGTAAAAAACAGGTGTCTGTGCTTCTTAAGAGCCCTTGTTTTGAATGTCAGATTCGTTCTTGCAACTAAGAAACACATCAGAGGATCTGGGGGTTGTAGCTCTATATTACAAATTGCTGATTGATAAAGCTGTTTTTAAAAGAGGTTTCTACATCATACCCACCTAACTGGTCCAGTGGCAAGGCTGCCCTGCTCTGCTCCTGCTGGTATGCTGCCCAAGGCAGGCAAAGCTGCCCTGCTCTGCTCCTGCTGGTGTGCTGCCCAAGGCAAGGCTGCCCTGCTCTGCTCCTGCTGGTGTGCTGCCCAAGGCAAGGCTGCCCTGCTCTGCTCCAGCTGCTGTCACCAGTCGGTGCTTTGCATTTGAATGAGAGATTAGCAGCTTGTCTGAGCACCCACACTGCTCCTCAGCCAACCCTTGGTCCTGCCAACACAGCTGGCTTGCCTGTGGGCCTGGCAGCTCCTCTGCAAGATGGGAGGAAAGGTCTGGATCACCTCAGATGGAGAGAACCTTGTATTTAAGAGGCGATTCTTGCAATTCAGAACTACCAGAGAAAAAATAGTGCTTTTCTCTCTTTCCTTCCTCTTAAGTAAAAAACAGGTGTCTGTGCTTCTTAAGAGCCCTTGTTTTGAATGTCAGATTCGTTCTTGCAACTAAGAAACACATCAGAGGATCTGGGGGTTGTAGCTCTATATTACAAATTGCTGATTGATAAAGCTGTTTTTAAAAGAGGTTTCTACATCATACCCACCTAACTGGTCCAGTGGCTAATCTGAACAGAATCTGGCAAGTTATTCAAGTAGATTAAACCACCACTTATTTGATGTTGTTGTTTTTTTTTTTGGTAATAGGAATTTCAGTTGAGAATGAAAACAGAAAATATTGCAGTTCAGCAGTGTAAACCTGCACTAGGTGAATACAAAATAGGAATTTTCTCCTTATTTCCCCAGTCCTAGATGTTTACTTCCTCTTAGAGGCTGTTAAAATACATCCATTCATGTCAATTATCTAGGCAGTTGACGCTGTTGGCTTTACAGCAGTACCTCTGTTCCTCCTTTCTCCACCTTCTGAAAGCAGTTTCAGTTTCTTGCAGATCCCTGGGAAGACTCCTCGCAGCTACAGAGCAGGGCTGAAGGAGCTGGCTCTTGGTGGCTGCAATAGCACGATCTTTGTTGCAGTAACAAAATGAAACCATCTGCTACTGCCTGTTGTTAAAACACACAGATTGTGCCCAGGATAGAGCCTTTGGGGCAGAACACCCTGAGGTTTGGGAGGACACAAAAGCTGTGTCTCCACAGGGGTAGGTAGCAGGGCTGCAGGCCTGTAGGAAAACAGATGAGTTCAGCATGTGGATCTGGCACAGTGACAGGCTAACTCACTGGGACACAGCTCATCAGGCACGAGCAGTGCCAGCAGTTGGACTGGGATGGAAAAACCTCTCCAGCCCCATAAACATTCATGTCCCACATGTCTGTTTCACCTTACTTTAGATTCCTAACATACCAAAGGCTAAGAAAGTAGGAGACACAAAGCCAAGGAAAAGCACTCTGCCTCCTTCCCCATCAGGTACTGCAGATTAGCAGCCAACAAAGCAGTACAAAACCTAAACCCAGGAAGAACCAAACCCTGGTAAAGCCTCTCCAGCAGGTGCTTCTGTAACACTATGGTGTGGCAAAAAACTCATCTCCCTGAGCTAAAAGGAACACATAATTAATTCAGTGTTGGGTCTTCAGTTCTAAGAAACTTGCTCTACTTCCCACACACAAACATCAACACCTCCCTGTTTCACTCATCCCCAACAACAGCCCCTGAACTAGTTTCCATAGTTTTTATGTATCATCTCTAAATAGCTGCTGGAAAGAAATGTGGTAATGCAAAAGAAGGAGCAATTATCACTACAATAAAGAAAAAAAAAAACAACACCCTATCCTCACTTATGTAAATAAATTTCCTTAGAAGGAAAACTCCAGGTAATATGTGAACAGCAAGGTGGCAGTAGGTACCTCCTGAAATGGGCAATAACAGGTGTTACATTTCCAAACTAACTCCAAATTGCCTCCAGCATGGTGATGCTTATTTGACATTATACAGTAATAACAGCTTTTTAAAGTAATCTTAGATAATTCATCCATCTTGAGTTCTAACAGTCACTTAAAGCCAACAGGAGCACTTTTGGGTTTTGTCCTATGACCCAGAGAGGACTTTGAGAAGAGGTTTTATTGCAGCTTAAACTGTAACAATTCAGCTGTTTAGGACTTTCAGCCTCCTCAACACTCACATTTAGCTGAGTTGTACAGCAACAGAGCAAGCTAAAATCCCTACCTGGCCCTTCTTACAACCCTCTTCTATGGCTAGTTTAGTGCTGCAGCATTTCATCTCCTGCCTTTTTAACAGGAAACCATTCCACAGTTTGAGCAGACCCACCCACACTTGAGGGGACAGGAGAAGAGCTGCAGGACTAGTGATACTCCACTACTCAGTTCAGCCTTCTGGAAATCTACACTGGAGACCTTAATACCATAGTATCATCCACTATAGTAAGCTGGTCAACGTTGGCTTTTTTCCTCCCCAATTTCTCTATGAAGTCTGTTGTGCCCCAACAGTGCAACAAGGCCCATACCTCTTTGAGCAAGATTTTGCTGCTCAGCTGTAGCTTTGTGAACAGAGCCTTAGGCTCCTACCAAGCTCCCCAACTCCTACTTCACTGTAGGATCTGGTCACTAAGAAAATACCATTTCTCACAGCAGCAACACTTACCTTCTGAATAAGATGCTCCCAGCCCCTTCCTCCAGGTCTAGCCAACTTACTGCAAGTTTACTTTGCTTTATTGATGCTCCTGATTTAATTTCCTCCTATCTACACCCACACCAGGTGCATGAAATGCAGTTAAGTCCCACCTGTAAGTTTTTACACAGATTAGGTGGTAGTGGCAATACTTTAAAAAGTCCTTTATAGGTCTCCCATTCTGGAACTGGCTAAATTAAAGTTTTAAGTCAGGAAGTGTTTTAATGTTTGTTTTTTTTTCTCCTCAAGATGCTTGAGTACCTTGAATCAAAAAAGTCTATTTTGAGAGCTACAGTCCAAGCACATAAAGCAGTACATGTTTAATTTAAAATCTTGGTTTGGATTTATCAGGATTATTTGCTGAAATAAAATAAACCTAATCATACTTTATTTCTATATATAATTATCTGCGCTTGAATTATGACCATATAAACACTTTCAAATATAACAGGAATACAAGCCTAACCTTCCATGATGGAAATACAGCTCTTTATGTTTAAAAAAGTAACTTATTTCAAATTAAAAATCTGACACTTTCAGAAGTGATTTTTTTTTTCTTCACTGTTCATTTGAAAACAGAATTCTAGGTGCATATATTAAGATCATGATATTTTTCAGCTGTGTTGCATTTATTTAAAATACTGTTGCTTATGGTCCATTCTCCACTCCCATAAGGGCTACATACGTTGCTTCTGAGACATAGGTCCTCCTGTGGCTTTTTAAAGGATTTACTGATTTGAGTCTATGTTTAATCTTCCTAGAAAATGTCTCAAAATAAAGAATAAAAGGCTGATTTATTATTTTTTTTTCTAAAACCTTTTGGAATTATGTACTGCTACTTAATGTGGTGCACTGAGCAATTGTGACCCAAAAAACAGCAGGACCACAGACCACAGGAGCAGATCAAAAGGCTATGTTTTTAAATTAAACATTAAAAAATTGGTAATTAAAAAATGATTCCAGGGATGCTTTTGACTATGTTGTGGGTTTTTTTTTTCTTTCCCTGCAAAGGAAAATTTATTTTCAATGAAATACAGGTATTTCTGTGCTACCTGCAGTATTTAGGTTAGCAAGCAAGTGTTGTGGATTCTAGGCCTCCATTCAGCAGCAGCAAGTGCAGGAACACAGGTAACAAATAATAAAGAAGCCTTCCAAAATGTAAGAGTATTTTAAAAAACTTTATTTCATTTGTAATGAAACAACTGAGTTCTGCTCAAATTTATACAGTCAATGAAATAATCCTATAAAATGATTTTCCTAGGACGTTACAAGGCACATAAATTACCCAATATAAACATAGAAAAGTAGCCAAAATAATTAACTAAGTCCCCATATGCCTTTAGCTATTTTAGAGGTGTGTGAATGATTTACAAGAATGTGAATCACTCTGCTGCCAGGGTAATGAATATCTCACATTTGGCCTGACCAAGAAAATGAAAAAGAAGAGGAAGGAAAAGCTCAGATTCAACAACAGTGTTTTGTGACTCAGGAGGGACGAGCATCTTCTGGAGCTCCTCCCTGGGTCAAAGAGCTGTGCTTCCCTTCATGGCTTAGAGTCCATCACCCCACTGGTACAACTGAGCAGCTCCATTGTCTGACACAGGAAGGGGCAACCTCTCAACTTCCCCAGGCTTCTATATTGGGCAACTTGGTAAAAAACAGGAAGGATCTACATGCAGATCTGAGACTCTGCATTGTCTTTAGCTTTAAAGAGTAGACGGTGTAGGTCTGGTTTTTGTTATTTTTTTGGGCTTCTGTTTTTTTAAAGTAATCACTTTGGGAAGTTTTTTTGGCATGCAGTTAAGTCTTAATATTCTACTGGTTAAGAAAATCTTGCAACCCAGAAAAATAGTCATCTTTTATTTCATTTCAAGAGGCATTACCAAATAATTTCCACAAATATTCATTTTCCACCTGCATATATATTTTTCAACTAGCCTAACAGTCAAGGATTCATTGTAATAAGATTTTCATACAAATATATTGTATTGTGTATTTTCTTCCATTAACAGGATCCACTCCTTTATGTAACTCTAAGTATACATTCACATATAAAAGAGTAATAATTTGGCTAAAAAATATACGTCTATTTCTTATCTGATTGTAGTAATTAGCCTATCAAGGGTAATTTGCTATAAAAGATACGGTACTAGAAATAAATAGTTCTACAATTCAAAGATCTTCAAAATTAGTTGCCATTTCCAGTCTGCCTGAACTTTTCCAAAGTCCTTTTAAAGCATGAACTAAATTTACTACACTTGAGAAAACAGCTTGGACCTACGTACATAGATAGAGTCCCCGATCACATGAGAAGCTTATTTCACTTAATCTCCTTCTTGGTTTTGTAATGGGCAGAAACAACCAGATAATTGTCTGGATTCATGTCCTTGAGGGTTGGAGACTTGCTCTGGATTGGAGAAGTTTTCCCATCCACTCGGGAGATCTGCAACATTCGGCACGGGTCGTGCTTCAGTAAGTACCCTGCAAAAGTCTCCCATCCTCCTCCAACACGAACCATCACATGTTTGTTGTGCAGCATCTGAAATTACAGACACAGGAAAACACCAAACAGCTCTTGAGAGGGAATTGGACACTGGGAAATCACTTTTTTCTTTTTTTTTCCCTACTGGAAAAAGCTGTGCTTACCTTAAAATCACATACATTAGTAGTCTGCTTTGGAATAAAAGGAAAGGAAAAGAAAGTAGAATTGTTGGGAATTTTTTATTTAATAAGTAAATGTAAAGAAACTGTAAGGAAATCAGATAGTATTTAAAACTAAAGATTTTCATATTTTATGTAAATAATGTGACATATTTTTCTAGTAGACCTGTAGCACAGAGTGGTCCTGTTCTTCACGTACTTAGTAGAAGCATGTTAGGGAACACAAATGTTGTTCAGACTACTTTTTTTAAAAATGTGTTAGCAATTACACCATTTTTATGTCTTCAAACTGGCTTTTCTTTATAGGACATGGACCTGTATAAATGGAGCAGTGAAGGGCAAACAACCAAACTATCTCCTCTATCTCCTAAAATACCAGAAATGTTCTTTAAGAAAATGACTTACCATTTAGTTTAGCAATTTGATATTGCTCACATAGATGTTAACTAAAATAGTATAGTGTTGTAACTAAATTAGTCCAATGAGGGACATCAGAAATAATGTATCTGGAACTGTTTGAAGATACCTGAATTCACGCTGAGCTGTGAAAGAAAGTACAATGGTCCCCAGGCTCTTACTGGCAGGGCCAGCTCAGTAGTGCTAATACTTGCTGCCTTTATTCCAGAAATACTGAGGCTTGACCTACGAAGGAATTTTAAGGTTGAGAGGGGTATCTACCTGCCAAATGAGGACCCCATCTCTAATCTGTATCCTCCAGATCCACACTCATTTTCTGCCTAAACTCAAATCAGATTTTTCAGCAAGTAGTAATGTAGCTTCACCATGTCTTCACCTCTGAGTTCAGTTGGCAGTTTCACTAATTTATCTCCTGTTCCCTGTGCAGAACAGGCAAATAAATACCAGTGAGGTATCATATTCTATAGAAGCCACATCATAAATCATGCATTAAAAAATGCTTTGATTAGTACATCTCAGGAAATGCTAAACATCATACAGCCATAGAGCCAGAAACTAAAAATTGGCCCTGTAAAAGGAGTGCTAGAAGATGTTTAGTGGAGTCTGGGTAATGACATTTGGATTTACAGCTGTGATGTGAATATGGGCTCCTATACATGTCCAAAACTCCTTTGAGGGCTGACACTAATTGCAGTTGAGACTTACGTGGCACATAATCTAAAAAATGTCTTAAAAAAACAAGAAAAAATCTAAATCAAACAAAATCACATATAATAAAAGGCAAAAATGTAACTCATAAAAAAAACCCCAACCAGCCCACACCCCACTTCAGCCTAAAAAGATGTTGTTTGACTTTGTTAAAGAGGGAGACAGATTCACCTGGAGTGAAGAAAGCATGGCAAGATGTACAACTCTCTAAAGTTTGTAAATTAGGGTCAGTTTATAAGGAATCAAACTCTTTCATTTGAGTAAGCAGCTGCAGATGAAATCTTGTTTGAAAGTTTCCATTCGAAAGAGTTTAATGGAAGGAAATTCTTCTTGCATTTTGCTTTTTATGTGCAACACAGTGGGAAGTCAATCCAGCTCTACAGATACTGAAAAATAAAGTTACTTCTGATCCAACCCAATGAGAGCAAACTTAAGTACTCTGAGTTTAATCAACATCTCTCAGACACTGAGATTGACTGTGCTCTTGCTCTGGGTTGTAGCCTCTGCCATAGCTACTAGACACAAGTGAGGTTTTTCTCTAGATCTGTGTATGAAAGGAAAACCAGGTTCACATCTTTGCCAATCACACTTTCTTGTCTCAAACTTTGTGTTTCAGTTTCAAGACTTCATTTTGAACTGACAATGGTATGATCATCCCTCAGTGGTATGAGACTTGAATCATGTCTCTAGTCTGGACAATATATCATGCAATAAGCAAAAGGTTTTTACATCAAGTTTGAAAATTGCAGTTCAAACAGTGACACAGCCTTGAGACAACAGAGTCTATAGAATTTTATTTAGCAGCTTTCTCCTCTTTGAATACCTAAAAAAGCATTTGAGAAATGCCCCCCAAACTTTTCACATTAAAACATTTTAAGCCCAATTTCAGCCCACTACAAGATGTGATCTGCTGTGGGAAGGAGTTAACTGACACTGAACTTCAGCTTCCACATATTGTCACAGGAGGTTCACTGTCCAAGAGCAGTGAGTATCTGGACTTTTGATTAAGAGTTAGGAATGGAAAGTTAACAAAAATAAATTTGGTTCAATCTCCCTTAGGGACTACTGTGCAGACAAATAAAACCTGCTGCTGGTATGTTATTTCCTGATGCTCAGGTTAAATGTACATCTTCTGTCTTTCCTCTTTTTTCTTTCTTTTTGGATTAATATACTAAGATAAAATGCATTGAATGCTTGACTCTGTAGAGACTGGCTTTTCCTGCATTCTAAATATAGTCACTGGTCATGCTGTGCTGTGCCACAAAAGCACCATTTTACCCCTACAGCCATATTTTGAGGTTAGCAACAGCAGCACAAACCCAGAATAATTCTGCTACCTTCAGAATTGCTCCAGGTTCACAGAAGCATAAAGGATTTCTCACCAAGGAAAGAAAAATAACAAATAAAATACCTTTATCTTATTTTGTAACTGAAAAAGCTGTTTCCTCCCCTACATACTTCAGCTGAAGATGAAGTTTTTGAGGTTTTATGATCCACCCAACTCAGCTTTTCCGTTGGATGAGAAAGAAAATGTTGGGTTCTAAGATATGACGTTTATTAGTCAGTTATGAATGTAAATAAGTTCATGACATAGATGTATTTTTTACACTGTTGACCAGCCAGTGGAAACTGAGAAAAGCCTTTCTGTAAAGTAAAATCCAACAGAAGTTTATGAATGCCATAAATCTTCATTATTTCAGTTGTGCATTAGGGCTGCATCAAGAGATAACATGAAAAATAGTCAATAACAGGTAGGTGAACTAAGTTGACACTGGATTGAACTTGGGTATCAAAGTGAAATACAGTGTGAACGGTTCTGGTTTTCACGTGAAGAAGCTGAGAGAGCTCCATGGCTTGTTAAAGAGATATTAAGGTGTATGAAAGATATTAAGGTCATGTAAATGAGCACAGTTTTAATGACTTGAAAAAAAATCTGGTTTATAGGAATTGAAAATCTGGCCCTATATTGCTATTCCTAAGATTATATTATAATTTTTTAAAAATAATATTTCAGGGGGTCAGGGGTAAGTGGGAGAAGGAATTACACACTCTGGATCTGATCCAAGCACTTCAAAAGCCAACAGAAAGAATCCTATTGACTCAAAAGGAACAGGGGCTGGGCTGTGGAAGCCAAATGCAGCAACCTAAAGGAAATCAGAGCCTGGAGTTAGTTGTGATTTTAGGCCAACTGCAGAAACAATGAAGGCTACATACTGGGGGAATATTGACTATAAAATCCAAAGGTGTTTGGCGGAATCACACAGTGCTCACACCAGTGGCTCTGCACAGAGAATTTTGCACTCCAAAAGTGAAATGTTACTGAGGTTGGGAAAGAACAACTGAATATATTTCAATTAATTTGTACTGAATATGAGCCACTTAGACTCACTGTCATTAGTAGATATAACCCTTTTTTCTCATATCTGAGCATTTAGGAGGCCTTCTTGGAGAGGTGTTGACAACCACACCATGAAATGAGCTTCTACATCAATATATTTTCACACTGACCCCAGGAAATCCCAGCGCAGCTCAGACTCACCCACATTACTGTGTCAGAGCACTACCCATAGCAAGCTGGAAGGTCTTCCCACCATCACTGCAGGCCCAATGTCCTGAGGTGAGTACACACACAGAGATGGTGCACCCAGACAGGAGACCTCTCATTTGTGGTTTTGCTGCAACCCTAACTGATGCTATTCAGGAATCATTTTGCTCCAGCTTGTCTGCACCATTGACACTGATGCCCTACCCTCCTGTCTGTAGCAAAAAAAAAAAAAAAATGTTTCTCAGATCTCAGCATTATTCACTAACCATTTAAAAATAAGGGGAGAGCAAGGTATGAAACTTAGACCCAGAACGGGACTCAGATCTGGGCTGTCAGCCTTCCCCAGTGAGTCAGTCTCTGGTCTTGTATCTAGATTATGATACTGTGAAGTAATGACAGATTGTTCCACAGGGCATTGCTTATGTGGATGTTTTCATGGAGTAGGACATCACTTTCTTACATGAGACTGTGTCTCTCTCAGCACCTTCCTAGATGTGACCTGAAGAACTGATGTTAGGAGAGAACTTGCAGCCTGGGGCCGTGTGTGGCTGACAAGTGAAGTCATCTTAGACTTTGGTGTGCGTATCTTTACAGAAGAGGATATAGTATTCTTTGGCAACTTGAGACACTTGCTTCAGAGAACAAGGCTTGTGTCATCAAGTGTCAAAATTTTTATTCCTTTCCGCAGGAAAAAAAAATAAAAATGGTAAAGCTCTAAAACCAGCAAAATTAGCCCTCAAAATCCCCAGTGATTTCAACACTCAGCAGTTACCTAGGTGGCCTCTGAAAATTCTCATATCCATGATTTCATGTGGAGCCAGGTCTAGCCTGGCAAGACTCTGAGAAAGACTCTGTGAAAGCCTGGCAACGTGTAGAGAAGCCTGTCCAGCTGGATGGCTTCACAGAAGCTTCGATATCGGTTCAACATCCCTGACAGTCACCAAAACATACCAAGGTTCACATTAACAGGTAATGCTAATAGCCCATTCAGGCTGGGGGTTGGCCAAGAAGAGGACACTCAGAGCTGAATGGGCCCTGACCATTGGTCTGGTAAAGGTCTGACCATTGGTCTGAAAAAGGGTTTGATAAAAAAGAGGGAAACTGCACAGATGTGAACAGGTGCTGGGAGTGGCTGGGCGCTGCTGGGGCAAGGCAGCAGCTGGAGTGAGGATTCTTACTTGTTCCATGGTGGTTTTGAGGAGACGTGA